GGAGAGAAAACTAACCAGCAAATAAAACCACTACTACCGCAAGCAGCTGAGTGCGGGCCTGCAGCGCCACCTACTGGCGGGAGGGGTGTTTGCACTTTGCTTGAAGAAGGTGAAACCAAGGACACTGCATCTCAGACACACCTAAGAAGCCGCCAGCTACAGGCGGCCATTCTCCCTCTTTGTATTCTGCCCAAGTGGGATGCGATCCCGGTCACCTCAGAGTCGAACTACAACATCTGAAAATAAGCATTCCGGGCCTTGCATGCCCCATCCGAAGCAATATCCAATGGGGATGGCAAAATACGTTTTCGACTTTCATGCCCACTCCAACCCACTGGTCACTACTGCCAGGCGTGCTGGGTTGAGGAGGATTCTGAGGCCGAGTCTGGGCCGAGCGGAGAAGAGTATCACGATGGAACAGCGACAGCAACCATGGCTTCCACACTTGTCATTCTTGCCGTGGGTCCTGGAGCCTCTGTAAATCCCTAAACCGGCAGGTTCCTCCTGCTACGCAATTCCATCATGAGGGTATGTGTGTTCTTGCCCACACCTCACAGCACAAGAACTGCCATTCCTCATTTCACTGGCGTTCTCTCTCTCCCTAGATCAGTAACTCCTGAGCCAGCTAAAGCCCTCCCTGGGGCCGTCCTTGTGAAGAGCACGCACTTGCTTCCCCCGAGAGCGTAGGGTGCCCTGTGAGATCTGAGCACTGAAGTCAACAGTGGGCACTTCACTTTACCCAAAATTCCTCCATCTTCCGGCACTGATCATTCCCAAGTGGCCTCTGAGGGCGATAAGAAGTCAAGAACAACAAAACTACCCTGAGCAGATGCTGGACAGCCAGCTGGGCTTAGCCCTAGACCGGGGGCGGGGGGGGGGGGGGACTCCTGCCCCTCACCCATCAGCTTGGGAGAACACACTTCAGTCAAATCTGCACATCAACCACATTTTGAATTACAACGGGCCAGGGGTCACTTGAAAGTAGTCAAACTTGAAATCTTGACTTCTCAGAGGACAAGGGTCTGCTGTGTTTCACATCGAGGTACTTAGTACCCATGAGACTCCACAGCCCCAACAATGCCCGCAGGTGGGCACGCACCCCCACATGCTTTCCCCTCGGCAGTGGAGCCAGCCTCTGCCTCTGAGTGCTTAGGTGCATGACAGCAGGTCTTTCCCACTGAAGAGCAGGCTGGGGATGTTCGCCTTAGCTCAGGGGTCAGCAAACTTTCTCAGTAAAAGGCCAGATAAATATTTTCAGCTCCATGGTCTCTGTTGAAATAATTCAGCTCTGCTTCTGTAGTATGAAAGCAGCCGCACATACACATAAACAAATAGAAATGGCCGTGCTCCAGTAAAAGGTTTTTGTTGTGTTGTTGTTTAAAAAAAATAAAAAACAGATAGTGGGCTCTCTTTGGCCCAAGGAGCCATGGTTTACCAACCCTGCACTAGCCCAATTCAGGGTCTTCAAACTGGGTTCCTCAGAACTTGGGGGTTGTTTAAGGTGCTCCAGGGGCTCTGCAAATGTTTGGCTTTAATATCAATTCTTCTTAGCTATTTAGGAAGCTATAACCAAAATGTACCCACTCAAGTGTATTAAGCATTTTAACATGCAGGAGATCAATATATTAAAGGACTGTCAGGTGAACTCCTCTGTTATGAAGCTTCTATTGCCCTCTCTATGCACACGTATGGGTCATGCGGCAAAATGGCTAAGAGCCTGGGCCCCATGTCAGCCTGAGTCCCGGTGCCGCCGCTCACTAGCTGTGTGACTGGGCAAGTCGCTTTCCTTCTCTAAACCGGCACGGGCGCCACCAAGCGGCGCACACTGGCCATCGCGCTGGAGCCGCCTCCAGACGCCTCCTAAGAAGCCCCTTTCACTGGATCGTGGGAACAGGGAGCAGTCACAGTGGAGGGGCCAGGACAACTGAGGCCACCCAGGGGCACTCAGGGACCCCGGCCAGAGCCCTTTACCAACGGCCATGGACACATTTCTATATTTTAAGCACCAGTTTGTCTGGACTGGTGCATGCCAGCTGAATGTCATTACAATGCCAGATCCATCTTGGGTTTGAACTTCTTGCTGGTTTTGGTGTCTCCTGGCATTTCTGCTATGTCCCCACCTTCTCATTGGGCTCTCGGGAAGGGGAGGGGGCTGTTTGGCAACAATCTTAGCAGTCTCAGTGCTTAGTAACAGGGCTTCTGTTTTTCTGCTAAGGGGCAGTTTCCAACGGGCCTGGCATTTTGTTGGCAAGCATTTCCCCGGGCAAGTTCTGCAGGACTTGCTGGGCTGCGGTGCTTTGGGCAACAGGGGTCCAGCATGCCAGGAGCTGCGGTCTCTGCGCCCCCAGAGCTGCAGAACAGGCTGGGCCTGCGGCTTTGGTGCTCACCCGGCTTTTTCATTTGCCTGCTGAATGCTCCTCCTCACCCCGTGAAACAATCAGGTGTGTCTGGCTGCTGCCCGAGCCTGCCCTGCCCTCAGAACGTCTGGCCTTTTGTTCCAGCCTCTGAAAGCTCTCTCTCCAGGCCCGAGATGCTCATTTATGGTTGCAATAATAGAATTGGGACCCGACTGTCTCTCACTGCCCACGGCTGTCTATGTCTATTAATGGTGGCTCCAGTGAAATCCAGGCTTTTACTGCACCTTATCTTTCGCTTCCAGCATCCTATTTTCCTGCTTCCCAAAGAATCATTGGTGTTTATCATTAGGTCCTGGGGGCAGGACTTCTTGGCTCCCAGAATCCCTGGGGTTTATCTTAATTAGGTGACATCTGGTGCTGTCTTCACAGTGCACATGTCCACCCTGGTCACGCAGCCTAACGCCTGCTGGTTCTGGGGCCCTGGAGGCTCATTCAAGGGAGTGATTCTGACCCGAGGGGTGGTGAGCAGATGTTTCTGTGGTTCAGCCAAGATCAAAGGTGACTTGGGTTGAGCTCACTGACCTCCTCCTTCCCTCTTAGGTCTCACGGTATCCATGGCTGGGCTTGGGGCATGGGTAGAGGAAGAAGCTCAAAGCCAAACGCTCTGCCCTGAGGCCTCCTCTGTTGCCCAAAAAGGTCCCGACTGCATGAAAATAAACTCATGCAAAGACATCTTCATCCCCTGCCCTTCCCCTGGTAAGGCAGGCAGTGCTGGGCATCTGCCCGGGGCGCTCGGCACAGCCTGGCCCTTCCCCCGCAGGACCAGCCTCTAGGAGCCGATAGCAACAGCTCAGCCGAGCACTTTGATTCTGGCCCAGACTGTTGCTCCAATACAGAACCACCCTGTGTGCTTACTCCTTCCTCCTTCCTGGTGATCTTTCTGCAGCTACTGCCCGCCCTACATGACCCAGAATCTGCCCATTCAGACCGCGAGCTGAGTCCTCAAAAGGACAAAGGTCAGGCCCCTGATGGCGCTTCACTCCTTTCTCCTGCCCCCACAAGTGTTCCAGTTCCCCGCACACACCTCCAGGCTCCTGCCCACTTTGCTGGTACCTTTGGCTTTCCTCACAAAGTGCTTGCTCACAGCTAGGACTGCCCCCCAGGAGCTGGGCAATCAGCCCCCCATCCAGATGTCTGCTCACACCTCTGGGTCTTCCTGAGGGGCCAGCCATTGGTGCCACCACCCCTGCAGAGAGCACGGCTGGTCACAAGGGAGGAGGCTGCCATCAGGCAGTGAGAATTCTACCCCGGAAGTGGTGACAAAGGGGCTGCAGGAGCTCCTGCAAGGGTGGAGGTTCACAGGTGTACCTCAGAGGGCATCCCTTGCACAGCATCCCAGTGACGGGGAGCTCATTACCTCCACTCACACTCCCACAGCGGGGGAATCTTCCAGTGCAATTTCAGCTCCTTCCTCTCTAATGGGTCACTGCCGCAGACCAGACCTCCTCACACATCCCACATCATCTCAGCCTGGACAGCCTCCCCCTTCAGCCACTGAGCTCTCTTCCCCTGGGCCCACACAGTAAACCCCAATACTCCCTACTGGCAGGGCTGCTTGGCGACACAGCAGGATACAATAATTGAGGAGTGAGGGTTGAGGTGAAGGGGTTGGCAGGTGGGAACAAGTGAACTTTGGCGAAGAGCAAAAGCAAAGGAAGCAGTGGGCAGGCGGCTACTAAAGCGGCTCCCCAAGAAGTGCCTGCAGTGCCCCCTGCTGGCTACACCAGAGTTTGCATGCAGGTGTAATTCACTCCCCCATTCCTTTCCCAGATGGGGCAGGCCTGGCAGCTGCCCCTGATGACTCCGATTAGAGGATCCCCTGAAGCAAATGGGTCATCTTGTCCAGTGGTTTCCAAATGTGTAAAATTATAGGTAGGGTTGCTGTGGGCGATTGTGCATTTTGCCCAGTTGACAAAGGCCTCTGGGCTGAGGAGCCAATGGGGGCTGACATCCCGCTTATGTCCTGCTAATGTAACTGTGTACCCCGCGTGGGAGTGGCCAGCCCAGAGGAAGGGCCTTCTTTTCATAATTCATTGTAGCCTCCTTTCATAACCTGTGAAAGGGGCGTGTAGACCGGTGGCAGCCCTGGCACAAAATGCTCCCTTTAAAGAGGGCAACCTTAGAAAACCAAGTTCTTTAGCTGAAGGCGATTTTGAAAACCACCTAAAAGATGGGGAACCTGAGCCCCATGAAAGGGAGGGACTCGCTCAAAGTTCTGCCGTGAATGCCAGGATCGAGCTTAGAGGCCAGATCTCTTCTCCCTCAAAGCAGAGTTCTTGGCACGACACTGGGCTGGCTTTCACCCCGAAGCCCTTTTGAGGCATCCTGGCTCCTCTGACCCTCCATCAACCCCCCCTGAAATCCAGCCACGGCCTTAGTGTCCTAGGCAGCATCATGGCACAGTGTTGGCCCCGAGTGAGGGCTGGTGAGATGTCGGCCCAGTCTGCAGAGTTGCGTACCAGCGCCTCCCTCCCAGGGATGAGGGCAGACATGCAGCGAGGCAGTGCGGTCGGCCGAGAAGGGTCCAGTGGACGGCATGGGGGAGGGTGACGGGGAGCTGTGCCTGGAGCACTGTGGGCTCAGCTACTGTGCAGCTGGGGCCTGCTTTGCAGGCGCAGTCCGCCGGGGTGTCTGTGCCACCCCGTAGGGCACGTGGGCGGCCACTGTGCCCATCTCCTGAGCCCCAGCCACATGGAACATCTGGTCATCAAAGAAGATGTGAGGGCGGATCTTCTCCAGGAGGGGGCCCTTGGGCGCGCCCGCAAGGAACAGGGCTTCATCTGTCTCCAGGCCCCAGCTGCGCAGGGTCTTGAGCGCCCGGGCCCCAGAACTGGCTGCGCTGCGTGCCGTCACCAAGTAGGTGCGGATTGGGCACTCCAGCCGCAGGCCCTTGGAGTAGAATTTCTTCTGCAGCCTACCCAGGGCCTCCAGAAAGCCCTTTAGGGGTCCCTACGAGAAGGCAAGGGGAGACTGTGAGCTCACCCCTCTCCCAGACCTGGGCCCCCTCTCCAGCTGGGCTCCTCCCTGAAGCACTCATGTCTTGATGTTTGGGGTGGGGAAGCTTCTCAAGGTCCCCACAGCTCCTGGTCCTGCTATGCCTGCTCAGGTCACTGTGCGCATCAGTGGGACTGCAGCTACCTATGGCGGTGTGGGTATCTGTGCCGATGTGATTGGGGGTGACTGTGCCAGAAAAATGTGCCAGGAGAGCTGTTCCTATGTATGTCCTTCTCTGTGCCCCTCGGGTACATGGGTGTCTGTCCTACAGCTCCATAGTATGACCTTCTGTGCTCACCAGCAGGGAGGATATTAGAAATATTTAGCAACCACAGCCTGGGCACCCTCCAGGCAGAATGGAGTCCAGCTGCAAACAACACGGACAGACAGACCAACGTGCAGCTGGCTCGGGGCGCCATGCTCTGTGTCTATAGGGTCAGGGAAAGGATTTGCTCTCTACATGGCCGGGAACGATGAATGAGGACAGTGAATAAAGAACCAGAGGGTGGTAGAGAAGAAAAGCACAGCAGCAGCTGGAAATAAGGACCGGTGGGCTGCCGGTCTTGGAGACCCCTCGCCTATGGGTGGCTGGAGCCAGCAGTGGTCTCCGGCTCTGCCTACCACTTGGTGGGAAGACTGTCCTGCCCTGATTCCCAAGGGTTTTGGAGGGAACTGGTGAGAATGGAGGTGGGATGAATGTCCAGGGGCCATGGCTGGAGCCTGCTGAGCAATCGGAGAGAGGGACTCTGGGATGATGTGGATTTTTGTTAAAAGCACAAATAGGAGCTCCCAGGAGGACTAGGGAATCCCAACAGCTCCGGCCCCAAGGAATTTCAACCAGGCTTTAGGGCCTTTTCTGCTCTCAGGGAGACACCTGAGCAGTTAGACAGTGAGTGAGGGTCCCTGAGCCCCTTGCCAAGGGGTGGGTGGCAGGAGGTGGTTAGGGCTGGTGTGGCCCAAAGCAGAGGGGCCGCTCCAGACCCCACACCCAGTGGATCTCCCTGGCCCAGCCCAGCGTTTCCTTTCCTCCAGTGAGGGGGGTAGGGGAGCCTACTCAGAGGGCGGGGGAACCTCAGAGAGGGAATGGGGGTTCCAGAGAGAGGATGGCGGAGTCAGAGGGAGAGGTGAGGCGTTCCGAGTGCGATGGGGACTTTAGAGGAGGGATGGAGACCTCAGAGAGGGATGGCGACTTCCAGAAGGGGATGAAGACCTCAGCTACGAGCAGCAAAGGAGAGGTAGGGGCTTCTGAGAGGGGCTTAGAGAGAGGATGGGACTGCAGTGAGGGGAACAGGGGCTCAGTGGGAGGGTAGATGCTCACTGAGGGTGCCAGGGCTCAGGTGAGAGGGATGAAGGCTGGAGGCTTGGTGAGGGGACCTGGCTGGGTTCTGGGTCAAGCTGAGTTTGGTTCCAGCCAAGGGCGGGTTCTGCGGAGCCACCTGGCTCCACTCAGGGGCTCTGGGGAGTTTGTGAAGCACCTGGGCCAAGGGTTTGTTCTCATGGGCCTTCTCATGCTCGAAGAACCTGTCCAGCCCGTGGGCCTTGACAATGCGCTCCGACTCGTCCGAGAAGAGCACAGCGTCCCCGTCGAAGGCCACGCGCAGCTGACTCTGGGACACAGCCATGTCCCTGCTGGGGCTGAAGATGGTGGCGGCTGCGATCCCTGGGCAGAGAGAGGCAAAGGTTGTCTGACTTTATCCTGGCAAGAGGGGCCCCCTGGTGCCTGCCTCAGCTGCTGGGGCCAGGAGAGGGCTAGCTCAAGCTCTTCTTAAAAATATGTATGTATTGATTTCAGAGAGGAAGGGAGAGGGACAGAGGGATAGAAACATCAATGATGAGAATCACCCACCAGCTGCCTCCTGCACGCCCCCCTCCTGGGGATCGAGCCTACAACCCGGGCATCTGCCCCTGACCGGAATCGAACCTGGGACCCTTCAGTCTGCAGGTTGACGCTTTATCCACTGAGCCAAACCAGCTAGGGCAGCTCCGGCTATTCTTGTCCCACCTGCCTCTCCCAGGACTCAGAGCAAAGCTAATGAGGGCTAACATTCAGAATATTTAACACCTGGCCAATCAGAATGGACGGTGGCCTTTGCTCTGAGGGCCCTGGCCTGAGCCGAGTTTCCCTTTAGTTGCTGCTTTGTGGGAAGGTCTGGGGGAGTCCCAGGAAGCAGGGTGGGGCACTTAGAGGACTCAGGACAAGAGCCATTTGTCAATCAGTGTGGAGGGATGGCAATGCTTTATTGTCTAGTAAGGTCATGCTGGTACGGACCATCGGAATGTCCTGGCTGGAAGGGAGGGTCCCCCAGGCCACTGATATCCTTCCCGGAGTTATTCACAGCCCCTAATATAGGCCTACAGGGGGGCTGGGAAGGGGCCCTGCCTCTGGCTTGGCCTCGCTCTCTTGCTGTTGATTCCAGCAAGCCTCTCACCTGCTCTGGGGCAAGGTAAAATGAAGGATGTTTCAGCTCTGTCTGGGGCTGAGATCCCAGGCTGCCGTCTGGGGTGGAGTCGGGGTGGGCACCCCCTCAGTCTTCTGCCGCAGGGGCACCCGGGTATGCCCTTCTCCAGGCAGCCTGGCCACTCTGGGTTCCTTGAAGCAACGTGGGTGGCCATGAGAGGCAGCAATAATTCCAGGGACTGTGGCACAGACTCTCTGCAACCCTGGGCCTCTCCTAGCCTGTGGGAAACCCAGGCTCCAGGCTAGGGCTACACTGGACAAGAGAGCCAGTGCTAGAGGCTGGAGACCTGGTCAGCAGCTCAGCTCATTCCTTCTTCTTCATCTCTCCGGAGGCCACTCGGCCCTGCTCTTCAGGAATCTGGGATCACAGGGGCTGGGCTTGGGCAGAGATTTGGGAGAGGCGAGCAGTGTCAACTTTGCTAGCCTGAGGATGTTATTTGTAGGACCAGGCCCTAGGCATCGGGCCAGGCATCTACTCAGCTCTGCCAATGATGGAGCCAAGATGAACCCGAACCACCCCACCCTGGGCAGGGCCTGCCCCTGCCACCCCTTGCTCTCCAGCCTGAGCTCAAATTGCAGACATATACAGGCACACATGCAGGCCCGTGTCCAGGCCCCGACCAGGGGGTGTGACATCTGTGTAGGGAAATAGCTTCTGGCTCCTGGTTAAAGATGGCCTCCCAGAGGCCCCAGCAGCTCAGAGAGGAGGTGCCAGGGAGAGAGAGGCCAAGCTTGTAGGCAGGAGACAGCATGAAGGAGAAGAGTGAATACACTGTTGATTGACAAACCTTCCAGTAGTGCTGAGCCTGGGGAGCCCTCTCAGGAAACGGGGCCTGCCAGCCTGTTTTCTTCTATGTGCAATAGGAATACATACCCTGTTGGAGGACCAAGGCTGGGTCTACCACCCAAAACTGACCCTTGAAAGAGACACATGGAGGGCAGTTCTCTGTCAGTACTTGTGGCTGGATCTCCTAAGCTCACCTCAGCTGCTGGGATGCTGGCCATTTCCCAGACCCCACTCATTGCCCACGCTGGACTAGATACTTATCTTTCTCCCCATTGGCCCAGACAGGGACAGAAGCTGCCCACGGTCACACAGGAATCAGAACTCCTACTGACCTGGAGGATTCCTAGAAGGGAGTAGCTTTCTGGGCTGAAAGGAGGGTTTCCATGGAAACAGAAGCCTGGGTGATGGTGATGAGTAAAAGCATCCTTAACATGGTAGGGCGGGGGGTGGAAGAGTGGATTAGATGGACAATAATAAATAGGGGGGACTTGTTCTCAGATTTATTGGACAGGTCTTAGGAATTACAAAAGGTACCCCTCTTCCAGTTACCATGGCAACCACTAGCACCTGCTCAGAGCTTTAGGATGAAGCCTAAAGGCCTCCCCTTCTGGGATCCCTTTGCCAGACTCCCCATATTCTCCCTCCCCAGTTTGACTCACCTTGATCAATGGCTTCTCGAACTTTTTCTGCATCAGCTGACAAGTAGAGGTTGGTGTGATAGGCCTTGAGGTAGCAGATGGGGCTATTCCCACCTGTCATGCAGAACCTCTCGATGAACAGGTCTGGGGAGAAGATAGAGAATACTCCGGTGATTCCTGGGTCAACCTTTAGGGCCTCAGAGTGGTCCCTCCATCTCTAATAGACACTCATCTTGGTTCTGAGTGATGGTGGGACAGTGGAGTGATTCTCTGAGTGATTTTAGGCCAGCAGCCCCCCTCTCTAAGTCCCTCCCTTCTTCATCCTTGAAATGAGGATGATCACCTCTGGAGCAATTGCCTGGCTCACAGTAACATCCTCTTGTCTGAGAGTCACAGTACTACACAAGGTGGATCCCTAGCCATGAGTAGCTCTCTTGGCCATAGCTGATTGGATAGGAACAGACACCTGATCCAATCAGATTCTCTCACAGCCTGGGCTGATAGTCACCTAGTACCCATGCCTGCACAGGTTGTAAAATATTTGCTAGTTGGTCAATGGCTGTTGCTCTGAGCCCATTGAGTTAGCGGCTAATTTAGCCCAACAGTACCCGACCCCTCACGCAGAACAATTACAATGAAGGGGTAATGCCGGGCACAGCAGGGATTCTTCTGGACGGGCTCTGGCACTACAGGTGCTGTCTATCCTGATTACTCAGTGAATACATCACAGGTGGTTAACTTTTGTTGTTGTTGTTAATCATTGCCCAAGGATATTTTCCCACTGATTTTTTTAGAGAGAGTGGAAGAGAGAGGGAAGGACAAAGAAACATCAATGTGAGAGAAACACATCAATTGGTTGCCTCCTGCACAGGATCAGGGGGAGGAGCCTGCAACCAAGGTACATACCCTTGACCGGAATCGACCCGGGACCCTTTGGTCCGCAGGCCAACGCTCTATCCGCTGAGCAAAACCGGCTAGGGCTATGGTGGTTAAATATTTTGAAGATCATTCCTGCTCCCAGAAATTTGAAATTAGGATTTTAAAATGCCAAGTGGTCTGGCTGGTGTGGCTCAGTTGGTTGGGTATCGTCCCATACACTGAAAGGTTGCCGGTTTGATTCCCAGTCAGGGCACATGCCCGGTTGCAGGCTCGATCCCTGGTGGGAGTGTTAGGAGGCAACTGATTGATGTTGCACTGTCACATCGATGTTTCTCTCTCTCAAAAAAAAATCAATAAAAAAAATCTTTTAAAAAATGCCAACTGGACTCTCTTGGTTTCCTAAAACAAGGACTTGCAAACTTATAAATTTTGGCCATGTTCAGGAAAAGCAGAGAAGCCTCGTTTGGGGAGAAAAAGAGATAGGAGAGAAAAAAAAGAAGAACAAAGTAGAGAAGCAGATAAGGGCTCGCGTGGCCCAGAGAGAGAAGGGGCCCCGGAGAGATGTCCAGTTCTTGGATGCAGGCCTTTCTGGCCCAATTTACTGCTTGTCCTGTGGTTCTAAGAGACACTCCTATAACCTGATAAAACATTCTTTTCAACTTAAACAAGCTCTGGAGGGTCCATTGCTTTCAATTAAGAACTAGAGGGGCGTGGGTGTGGGCTAGAAGGGGTCAGTGGGGGAAACAGGGGGGCATCTGTAATACTTTCAACCATAAAGATCGTTTAAGAAGAATTTGAATGAAGCCCATTCACTCTGATGACTGCCTGTGTCTCCCAGCAGCCTTGTGAGGCCTTTAGCCCCATCGCAGATAGAGAAACTGAGGCTTGGGGGCAGCATGTGCCCGATCACGTAGGGAGTGGGCCTGGGCCGTGGTGTGCTGGAGCTGGCTTATACTGGCTTGCAAGAACTGAATGTTAAACATCCTGGGATTTTTTTGAGCCAGTTAGATTGTTCAACTGCTGGTAGCTTGAAATAAGTCATAATAAGTGGGAATGTTTATATCCTGAAAATGGCAAAGCTACAATTTTTTTTAAAGAGCCAGTTTACCAGTGCACCACTGGGTTTGGGGTTCTAGTTGGCATGCCCTTACCCGGCAGAGGTGTGGCTGCATCCCCAGGGGTCTGGCAGGGGCGTCCCATGGCCAGACCCCTCATGCTTACCATAGTGGTTGATGCTATTGATGAGACGGACACCCACTTGAGCGTGGTTGTTGGTCACAAGGACGATGTCGAAGATGTCCTCACTGTCGGGGTACAGTTCTCGAAGCTGCTTGTTCACCGCCTCCAGAGCCTGGATGGGAGAGAGGGGGGCCTCCAGCTCAGACCCCCCAGGAATTAATAGCTGGAGTTGGTAGCCAGGGTTGGGGAGGACGATGGGAGAGGAGAGGGGAGGTCAGGGGCCAGAGTTGGCGTGCGATCAGTGGGCATGGACTTTCTCCGCCTCGTCTCCGCCATTGGGCGGGCTGATTATTGCTCAGGGCTGCCTCACTGGAAGCGTGAGTGGAGGCTGAAATCCAGCCCGTGCTCCACTCACCAAGATGGTTCGTTCCCTGGTGTGGGGCTGCCTTAGTCCAGAGTATGGGGTGGCCTCTTCCCACAATGGCTCTGTCCCTAGCCAAGCCGTGCTCCTGTGGGGTAGCATCCTCCCAGAGGGCCCTTTCTCCTTACTCAAACACCCATGCAAGTGCTTTTTCCTCCCCTCCCCCTCCCCCAGGAGTGGACAGCCGCTCACCTTCACAAAGGGGAAGGCCGGCCCGGGGCTGAATGGTTCATTCTCGTGTTGCAGCTGGTAGCGCACGTACTCCTCCACGCCCTGCTCCATGTAGATCCGCTGCTCCTCGTCCATGCGGAACAAGGCTCGGGAGGACACAGCAATGGTGACTGCATTCTGAGGCTTGGGCTGCGGAGGTGCAGGAGAAGGGCCATCACTTCCACTTCCCTGAGGTGGGTCTCATGGGCCAGCCCCTCTGAGTCCTGGGGCAGGGAGAAGACCAGGCCCAGCCTCTGCTAGGAGGCTTAGTATTGGGCAGGGGCAGACCTAGCACAGGACCTCTCCTGTGAAGGAACCAGCTGGGGACTGAGGGAGATGAAGCCTCCCCACCAAGAAGCAGGGCCATGCCCTAGGGGAGTCGGCAATCTAGCCAGCCACCTGGACACAACAGATGAATGAATACAGTGTATGGAGCCAGAGTATGACCGATGCTCAAGATGGTCTTCAGATGGTTTCCATTATAAAATGAGAGCTACATGCCCTTTACAGCGGTTCTCAACCTGTGGGTCGCAACCCCTTTGGCGGTCGAACGACCCTTTCACAGGGGTCGCGAAAATAATTTTATGGTTGGGTCACAACATGAGGAACTGTATTTAAAGGGCCAGAAGGTTGAGAACCACTGCCTTAGGAGGAAATGGTACTTAGAAACATGACAACTATATAAGAACATTTATCTCCAGCCCAGATCTATCTCCAGCTCCAGACTCATGTATCTAACTGTCCCTGTTGACTAACAGACACTCAAACACAACATGCCCAAAGCTGAATTCCCACAACTGTCTCCACCCCTAAACCTGGACTCCTCCCTCCTTCCTCATGTCACTGCTGAGCACCACCATGCACTCCTCACCTCAACCAGAAGCCCGAAATTCAATGCAAGTCTTCCCTCTTCCTCAGCTCCCTTTCCACACCAACACCTGTCAGCTCCCCTAGAATCGATCCACTTTGTCTTCCCTACCATAGTCCAGTCCATCAATCTCTCTCCTCTCCTCCAATCTGTCATCTATATTGTTGTCATGGGGTTCTTCTCAAGTTCAGATCTGATCATGTCCCCCTCCCCTTCAGTGGTGCCCACGTTTCTCAGGCTCTAGTTGTTAGCTTTTGGTATGGAGTAGGAAGCGCTTCATAACAGACTCCCTACCTCGCTCTCCACGCTCACCTTCCCAGGACCCCACTTTGCTCAGGCTGAACTCTCTCACGTGTGAGCACACCTTCCACTCTTTCTCTGAGCCTTTGCACATGCTGTTTCCCTTCCTGATCTACTCTTTCCCTGACTCTCCACCCAGCTAACTTCTGCCCAACCTTTGGGTCTCAAACAATACGTCACCTCTAGGAAGCCTTCCTTCACCCTTAGTCATGGGTTTGCCACCTCTTCTGATTCCTTTTTCTTTCCTATTTTCCTATTTCCTTTTAGTAAAATTTAACAATACATTATAATAACTTGTTTCTACTTCTAGACAAAGTTCTAGAGAGGAAGTAGGAACAATGTCTAAGTTCTGAGGGAAGAGGAACTGTGACTATTTTGTTCATTTACTGTATCTCTAGTGCTTAGAACTGTACCTAGCACATAGTAGGTGCCCAGTAAAATTTTAATGCTTCTAAGCTTTTAAATAACATATTTTATTGGGAAACATTATTTGCCATGACAAAATTTAACATGAACCAGAAACTTCAGTTCAGTGCCCTAATCTGTTCAGGTTGCTCGATACAGTCGGTACTCAGAGAATATTTTTTTGATTGATGCCAATTTGGTGAATATTTGCTGGTTCTTTATGCCAGGCACCTGGGCTCTGCCTGAGGGTGGTCCTGGTAGAGACTTGGCTGCTGTCCTCAGAGCTCACAGGCTTGTAGGGGAGAAAGTCAGGTAAACAGAGATGCAAAGGGGATTAAAATGAGTGACAGAACACAGGTGAAAAGCAAAGCCTTGATGACAGGTTCACAGGAAGTTGTCATGGGAGAGAAGGAGGAGGGTGAAGTAAGGCATGAAGAGGTGTGCACATACACGGTGGTGCATCCACAAAGGCGAGCAGAGCCCAGGGCATGGCGGTCTGAGTACAGGTGAGCCCAGAAGAGTAGGAAGGTGCTAGATTAGAGGGCCTCCTCTCAGAGCCCCAGGAGGGTCTCAGAACTCCTTCACCATCTCCAGTAGAATGGAGCCAGGGGCATGCCATCACAGCAGCGGCTGGGCCCTTTATAATCCCTGGCGAAGGTCAGGATGTGGGTTCCCAAAGGACTCACAGACACCCAGAGTCCCACTACATCTCTGTGACCTGAGCATGATTCCACTTTACAAATGAGGGGCTCAAGTTGGGGGCAAGATTCATAAAGGGACCTGGTGCCTGGTCACCATGGCTCAGTGGTTGAGCGCTGACTTATGAACAAGGAGGTCATGGTTTAATTCCCGATCAGGGCATATGCCTGGCTTGCAGGCTCAATCCCCAGTAGGGGGCATGCAGGAGGCAGCCGATCAATGTTTCTCTTTCATCATTTCTATCTCTCCCTTCCTCTCTGAAATCAATAAAAATATTTATATTTTTAAAAATTAAAAATAAATAAAGGGACCTTGCTTTCTGGCCTGCTCCTGCCTAGCCCTGTGGGTCACACACTGGCCCCGCTGCTTCTCTCTGGAGTCAAGCCTGGGCTCCAATCAGTTGACAACATTGAGTGATTACCATGTGACAGGCACTGTGCTGGGGACATGGCAGGAAACAAGACAGGTGTGATCCCTGCCCCGGTGGAGCTGATGACCTCTCCCCAATGTGCTCTCCCCAAGGCAGAAATTCGTGCCATCCTTCAGAAGAGCACTGTCCAATAGAACATTCTGTGATAATAGAAATGTCCAGAGCTGTCCATGTGGCTATGGAGTAACTCAGTGGTTCTCAACCTTTTGGCCCTTTAAATATAGTTCCTCATGTTGTGACCCAACCATAAAATTATTTTCGTTGCTACTTCATAACTGTAATGTTGCTACTGTTATGAATCATCATGTAAATATCTGATATGCAGGATGGTCTCAGGTGACCCCTGTGAAAGGGTCGTTCGACTGCCAAAGGGGTCGCGACCCACAGGTTGAGAACCGATGGAGTAACTTGAAATGTGGCTAGTGAGACTGAGAAACTGAATTTTTAAAAATATATTTTTATTGATTTCAGAGATGAAGGGAGAGAGAGAGAAACAGAAACATCAATGATGAGAAAGAAGCATTGATTGGCTGCCTCCTGCATGCCCCACAGTGGGGATCAAGCCCACAACCCCGGCAATGTGCCCTGACCAGGAATCAAACCGGGACCTCCTGGTTTATAGGTTGATATTTAACCACTGAACCACGCCGGCTGGGCTTGAATTTTTTTTTAATATATATTTTTTATTAATTTCAGAGAGGAAGGGAGAGGGAGAGAGAGATAGAAACATCAGTGATGAGAGAGAATCATTGACCGGCTGCCTCCTGCACACCCCGTACTGGGGATTGAACCCACAACCCAGGCATGTGCCCTTGACTGGAATCGAACCTAGGACCCTTCAGTCCCTATGCCAATGCTCTACCACTGAGCCAAACCGGCTAGGGCTGGGCCTGCATTTTTTATTGTATTTTATTTTAATCAATTTATATTCAAGTAGTTATGATCGGTGAGTGGCTAATGAGGCTTTAAGACCTCAGAATAGGAATGGAAGACCAATGAGCTCCCCAAGCTCGTGAGGTAGACCTCAGTTTGCATTTGACTTTTACTCCAACCAGCAGGCCAGTCTAGGGCAGTGGCAGGACAGGCGCCTCTCCCCTGGGGCTCAGCTCCAGTACTCTCCCAGCTGCTGGCCACCACCGTGTACGAGGTGTACCGGTTAATAATGTGGATTTTGTAATAAAAGAAAACACGGTAACTTCAAGAGAAACATCAAAAGTGCTTTATTCAAAGTAATGTCCATCACTAGCTACACATTTCCCCCATCTTTCAGGTAATTTGTGGATACCGTCCCAATAGAACTTTTCTTGTTTTGAGGCAAACCATTCAGAGACCCAATTTTCCACTTCTTCGTACGTTTTGAAGTGCTGCTCAGAAAGTGCATGTGCCATCAATTGGAACAAGTGGTAATCTGAAGGAGCAAGGTCTGGTGAATACGGTGGGTGGGTTAATACTTCCCAGGCAAGATCATTTAACGTGTCTTTAACTGGTTTTGAAGTGTGTGATGGTGTGTTATCATGAAGCAAAATTACTTTGCTATGTCTTCTGGCCCATTCTGGTGGTTTTACGACCAAAGCGTGGTTCAAATTGATTATTTGTTGTTGGTAGTGATCAGTATTAACGGTTTCACCTGGTTTTAGAAGCTCATAATACACCACACCTTCGCCCTAACCGGTTTGGCTCAGTGGATAGAGCGTCGGCCTGCAGACTCAAGGGTCCCGGGTTCGATTCCAGTCAAGGGCATGTACCTTGGCTGCGGGCACATCCCCAGTGGGGGGCGTGCAGGAGGCAGCTGATCGATGTTTCTCGCTCATCAATGTTTCTAACTTTCTATCCCTCTCCCTCCTCTCTGTAAAAAATCAATAAAATATATTAAAAAAAAAATACACCACACCTTCCTGATCCCACCAAACACAGAGCACTGTCTTCTTTCCGCAGCGATTTGGCCTTGCAGTCCATGTTGTTGGTTGACCTGGATCAACCCACGCTTTTGTGTGTTTGGGATTCTCAAAATAAACCCACTTTCATCGCGAGTCACAATTCGATGCAAAAAAGACTTTCTTTCGTGCCGTTGAAGCAACATTTTACTGATGACTTTTCGGTTTTCCATTTGTCTTTTGTTCAGTTGATGTGGCACGCATTTTCCTTCCTTTAAAATTTTTCCCATTGCTTGTAAACGATCAGAAATTGTTTGCTGAGCAACATTTAATCTTTCTGCAAGTTGCTTTTGAGTTTGACACACATCTTCATCCAATAATGCTTGTAATTGTTGGTCTTTAAACCTTTTCGGTTGACCTGGATGTTCTTTGTCTTTCACGTCAAAATCATCGCTTTTAAAGCGTTTAAACCAGCGTTCACAAGTATCTTGAGATGAAGCATGTTCACCATAAGCTTCCCAAAGTATACGATAACTTTCAGCAGCACTTCTCTTCCAAATAAAGTAATGAATTA